CAATAAAGAATCAATTAATCTATTTTGGTTCATCGTGTCTTATGTATCGATTTTAACAGAAAAATTTAAACAGTTCAATAGAAATGATATCAAGGTCTCTTATTATAGTACAAACGAATTAAAGAAATTTATCAAAGTACATAAAGATCCTTTGGACTCTTTCTCGAAGTCTAATGTTGTTTATAAAATAAACTGACTGTGATGCATCTTACATGGGACAAACGGGGAAGAAGTTGAAAACTCGGATTTCAGAACATCGAAATCATATACGATAGAACACCAGTTTTAAATTAGTAATAATAAACTTCGATCGCAATTGGATCATGATTTTGATTGGAATAACATTTAAATCTTGGATGAAAAATCGATTTATAATAAACGTCTTGTCTCAGAAATGCTTAACATTAAAAAATAGAGTTACAGTCTTAATCTACAGACAGACACAGGTCTTCATAAATCATAATCATTCCAATAATAAACATGTTTGACTTTGCATTGCCAAGATTTATCGCAGTACAATGAATTCATCGAGAACGTTAGATGCTTTTCTTTATTCTTTATTTTATACATTGGACATTACACACTTATAATTGTGATATTAATTTTTTACCTCTTTTGACATCAAAATTTGATGATTTTTTTTAAATATTAATATGAATTTTCTCAATTGTCGGATTCTGAGGTGAGTTTTTATCAGAGAGACGTATTATGCTTGTTTAAAAAAAATTTTTTTTTTAGTTTTGATAACTTATAACGTTTTTATGTTTTTTTATGATCTCTCTAGAACAACGAGAAATTTTCGCAATCAATCAACCAATCGCTTGACGAGCAATTTTCTGTTTCTCTGTTTTAACACTCATCTAATTAAATAATCGCTTTCTTAATTTTTGAATAATGTTTTTTACTGCGCTGGAAAATTTTTTGTACATCTGAAGATAGCCTAAATATAAGGTCAAAACATGTAATTGTACTTTGTAGCATTTTAACTTTTTTACTTTCTACAGTTCTTGTTTATCATATCTATCTTTAATTATGTTAAATAAACAATGGAGATTTTTTAAGTTTTTCTGACTCTTATTAGTCTTTTATATCTCGTTATTGTATTTTGAACATTAAGAATCTTGTTATTTCAAGTTTTTTTATTCTAAAAATGCAATTTTTGCTCTTCATTTTACTTGGATGCAAAACACATCCGCTCAAAACAAACATTTCTGCCAAATGTCAAGTAATGTGACTTGTCAAAAAATGTGTGGCAAACTGACATTTGAATAACATGATATCTATTTTCTGACACTAGTATCTATTCAAAAATTCGCAGAACTTTTCCTCTAACCCAATATTAACAAAGAAATTTAAAAAAGTAAGATCCCATTTCTGCTATAACGAAAATAAGCTCATGTGAAATCTCACTTTGTGTTGTGAATGCAATGGGTTTCGCTCTCCTTACTGAGGGGCGTCGCTCTGAAAAAAACTGATCTAACCCAATCTATTTTTTTGGTATTGTGTGAACCTTGCTTCGTGTTGTAAAGTGTATGTTAGAATCATGGAGGATAGAGACTAAGGAGACCGAATATAGACAAAGCCATCAAAAAGCGTGGTTAGATCATCTGAATTAATTCAATCAAGATGTCGCTTTCGTTCCACGACACCGTTCTCCCAGTTTGTATGGTAGATCATACCAATTTTACCTGAAGAATGCTCCATTTTGCATACAGTTTTAATGACAATTTACGCAAATTTACGTCTTCCTGTTATTGTCAGAGCATGATGTGAACGTCTGTATTTTTAGGTTATGTGTGTGTTCGATTGTGTGTTTATAAGCGTATGAGAAGAATTTTGCGATTCGAACGCCGCCTACTGAGCGCACCAATACCAATTCAAAAACCTGATTTTGACCACACTTTTCAAAGTCTAGTTCGGTCTTCTTAGTCACTATCCTCCATGGTTAGGATGCAGTGGGTCCCTCCCTTCTTGGGGGAGGGAGGAGGCTTCACTCTAAGAAAAACTAACCTAACCCAATCCATTGTTTATTTTCGCATGAAAAATTGTCCACGAAGCAAAGTTCCATATGGATTTACAACTTTCTATGTGAAGCGAGGACCATCCCAAATTTAAAAAATAGATTGAGTTAGGTTAGTTTTTTGGAGTGAAACCTCCCACAGGAGGGTGGAACCTATTGTATCCACGCATACACTTTACAACGCGAAGCGAGATCCACACCGTACCAAATATGTCGCTTTGCGTGGAAAGTCGAATGAGGCGTTATTTTTTTAAACTTCTTTTGTTAATAACTTTTTTTTTAACAAATAGCATCCAATGGCTAAAACCTGTTGTTGTTGAAGTCACTCAGAGTCATGATTTTGACAACATATTAACGTCGAGATCATCGGGACGGGGTCCCAATAATGAATAATTATCAAATACTGTTTAAATGAATACATATACCTAACAAGGAGAGGTCGCGGACTTCGGATCACCAATTTTGAAAAGGAAATTTTACATACAGAAAGTTTCATAAATGAATGTCAATACTTTAGGACGCATATCTATACATAAAATAAGTAAAAAATATTATACAAACATATATCCTACTTATCTTAGTTTTAAAATTATGGATGAATAAAGAAAATATTCGAAATATTCATCTTGTGCGTCAACACGTTGTTACTGTACAGCACGTTTCGACGTTATCTAATATTTACAAACAATACCCATCAATATAAATCGAACAGAATTTCAGGCAGTCAGTATCTTATGCTCGCGAGTTATTATTCTAAATATTGTTCTAAAAGCGGCAAAATGATGCCTCTTACTATCATGCAAAACTTGTGATTCGTGCACGATGATGCTCCGCCTCATTTTTATCTTGAAGTATCAATATTCCTAAACAACGTCTTCGTAAACCGATGGATAGATAGGCGGACCCACTCTATAGCCACTACGATCTCCTGATTTCAAGCCATTAGATTTTCATTGGGGCTATTTAAAATCTATTGTGTATTAACGCCACTAAACAATGTGGATGATTTGCGAGAAAAGATACGAAATGGATTTGAGACTATTTGAACCTAGTATTTTTGAACTAGTGGGGAACTTAATAAGGATGCTAAGGAATGCAGTAAGTATATAGGAGAAACGTAAGTATATAAAATGCATGAGGTAAATACTTCGAACATTTTCTTTAATCGTCCATAACTTGAAAATTAAGGTATGTAGGACATATGTTCATGTGTAACGTTTTTTACTTATTTTAGTGTATAGATTTATCTCTTAAAATATTGACATACATTTATGAAACACCCTGTATGTCAACATACTCTACTAGAAAAGTACTTCAGCAAAGGGATAAGGCGCAACACTCAATTGTTTTCGAGAAAAATCGATTTAAAATTTATAACGTTCCTATATATCGGCAGCGTTAGACTGATTTTCGACAAGGTCGCATAGTTCAGGCACTAAGTTATGAATAATCTGTCGACCTGCGGGTTCGATTCCTATACTCTTTTTTTTAATCTAGCAGATATTAATTATACAATATTATTATGTTAAATATATATTATATTATTATGTAAAATAAAATTAATTTAATTAACTATTATGCTTTTTATTTAAAATTTGCACTTCTAACTTCATTTAACAATTTACTTATTAACATAATTTTTATTCAATTAATAATCTTATTATTTTACATGTTCTATCCGATATAAAATAAAATACCTTTTAACATAGAAATTATAAAAAGAAATTGAAAGTAAAAAATTTTAAATAAAAAACAATTGTTCATTAAATTAATTTTAAGTAATTATTTATAATAGGATCTTTTCTGAATTTGGACATTTTTCGGCTGTAATGTTGATAATAATCTTTGTTATTAGGTGTTGGAATTAATTCGTAGCGTTTTTTAATGAAAGAATGTTATTTATTTCACATGAGCATTAAAAAATATATTAATGAAAGTACTTCCCATCACTTGTAAAACGCTACGAATTAATTCCAACACCTAATATGATTCAGATGAGAGAAAGAGCGATGTCTCTTATCTTCGATGTTATTAAACAAAAAATCTTTCGTCGATTTTTCTCTCATCACATATCTATTGTTTCTTATACATATTTTAATAATTTTTTGGACTGAACTTTCAATTACTATTATGAAAGTTGTAATGCGCTATATTTCGTTCTGGACACCAATGTATATCATACACTGATATTCTTTTGTATATTTTAATTAACGAAGATTTGATAATATTCTTGAGGCTTCCACGGGTGCTTTCTATATAAAAAAGGTATTCTTTGGAAGGCATTCCAAGAATGGATCTGGACACGGAGGAAACCCGCAAAACGCATAATCTTTATAAGATAAAAGTTCTTTTTAATTATTGATACCAATGGTTAGATGCCTTGACATTGCGAAATATATTTTCATTTGTTATCGACTGACAATGTGCTAAGTTTTTACTGTTCTGACAAATTCTAATGTAAGTATTTTATGTATGTTATTTATGTATGTTAGTATGTTACTGTTATGTATGTTATGTATGTTAGTGTTCATTTTAACTAACAAGACGAAAATTTTAAATTATTGTAGCTCTTTTTTTTTAACTTGTTTTTTAAATTATTGAGCCATTATATTATTATACTATTATACTATTATATAATTATAATAAAATAAATATTTGCTTAGATTAAAAAAAAGTATAATAGGCAGGAATCGAACCCGAGTGACTAGAGCTTAGTGTCCAAGTTAATCGATTTTGTCAACGATCGGTATATAAGAAACGCTATAAACTTTAAACTGGTTTTTCTCGAAAACGACTAAATGTTGATCCCTTCCTTTCAAGTCAAGTACTCTTTTAGTAGTGCTATTTAACACATATAAGTTTTTTCAAAATTGGTGACCCGAAGTCCGCGCCCTCCTCTTGTAAATAATAATTAAAATAATACCACACTAAAAGATGTATCATATCAAAGGTACATATTTTACGCAAAATGTTTACGTACTTGATGACTTTTCACTTGTCTCATTGTAGCTTTCCTGAAAAATAAAAGGCACGTATAAATATAATTTATAATGCTAGTATACAAAATATATATATTGTCATTCATTAAAGATTTCTCAGGTGTGTATATAGGTGTCATATACATTTCCTAAGTTATCAAATGTTTTATAATAAGTTAAGCATCAATAAAAATCATTTCAACAGAAACGTTTTTAAAACAATAATTTAAGAAACGTATTTTCCACATATTTGTAGATAAATAAAAATTATAAATTTTAATTTAAAATTTTATATGTGTATATGTACATGCATGCATTATCAATATGAATAATGTTCACCTAATAGAAATCATGCATGGTAAACTCCTATATAAAATGTCAGGCCACATTAGTTCATTTTGATATATCATTTTGGTATATTTAACCAGGCTATTATTTTAATTATATATAATGATACCTTTTATAAAGAATGATAGAAATATTAAAAATTGATAGAAGAATGACAGAAAGTGTGTAAAAAGAAAAAAAATTTTTAAAGAATTTTAAACTGTGTGGATAAATAAAATCCTTGTGGATTAATTTAAAAGAATTTTAAAAATTGGACATGCTAGTGCGCACTGAATGTATTGTATCTTTAATATAAAAGTAAGTTGTATGTAAATTGTAAGCTATAAATAAGTTGTATATACAAAGAAATATTATACACTTCTGATAAATGCTGAAATTTATAAAATTCTAAAAAATTATATGAAAAATTTTGAAAAAAATGTTATAATCCTGATAAAAATTTTTTTCAAAATTTTTCATATAATTTTTCATATAATTTTTTAGAATTTTATGTAAATCTCAGGATTGTTTAGAATTCTATATAATTTTATGATTTTTTAGAAAATTTCTCAGATTTTTTTTATACGAATCTTACAAGGAAAGTTACCCAGATGTCTAATTAGTTTTGAAAAAGTAACGGTTAGAAGTTATAGTATTCTACCTCCTAATCGTTTCATTCCGAGCGCCAAATATACATATATGGCATCCATGCAATGACCTTTGGATATTATATATATTGATTTATTCACACGTTTTACTCTTCATGCAAAGTGTACATTCGCGGAGGATTCTTCCGTACTGCGGAACCATACGCGGCCGCATGCGCCATAAAGGATTAACTAAAATGAGTACCATTCGTTCAGAAAATTTGATATTTGTTTAAAAAAATGGATTTAAAGTCCGCTCCGAAAATGGATTTTAATGACATTTTATCGTAACTTTTTTTTACTTTTTGGATTTTTCTACATGTAAGTAATAGGAAAACTTAGGTCTCGATTCCAATGATGGATGTTGAATATTTTTTATCTATCTTTCTCGAAGTTCGAATAGCGGACTTTGAATCAATTTTTCTAACGAATATAAAATTTTCCAAGCAAATCATATTCATTTTAGTTAATAGGAGATAGATATATATATATATATATATATATA